GTGGAATGGTTGATCTTATGATTCTTATGTCAGATTGTTTTGTACCAGAGTACGGATTTACGCCGCTTTTAGCAATATTCGAGCAATATCACGGCGGAGTCTTCGAACCCGGGTCTTCGGCGTGACGAGCGAATACTTAAACCACTAGGCTACCCCACCTCCCCTTCAGTTAATGGGAAATCGAACAGATTGGCAATTTGAATGACAAAAGTATGACCGCTACGTCCTGTAGTGCCTTAACCTTTTATGGCTATATATATCTTCACTTATACTATTCAACATCTAATTGTCCCTTATACACAGGACTGCCTTTGTGGTCTAGTGGATGGAGCGTCTGCTCGGAGAGCGGAAGGACGGTGGTTCGATCCTCGGCTGCATCATAGAAAAAATGTTAAAAGATGGTACTTGTTGTTACCCTGCCTGGCACTCGGCATTAAGGGGTAAAACAAGAACGGCACTGTGTCTGAGTGGGGTATCTGTGATAAACGGACTCGTTGTATCTCACTCCCACACACGTATGCGCATTGATGTTTAGTGCAATAATATTAAACGAGCTTTAATGGTCTTATGATACGCCCGTGGTGAATCCGGATAAGAAGAGAGATCTCCACCAACCAATGAAAGTTGTAAGAGGCGACTAAGTGGATCGGACGGTCAGACTCGGTGACTTGGTTGATTGCATGTCTCCATATCCCATTTGCAGGGATCAATGTTCACAATATCAATAACTGGTTTGTCTGGTCCAAACACATTTATCTACAGTGAGTGGGTGAGTGAGTTGGGTTTAACAGTATTCCAGTTATATCACGGCGTGGCAGCTTAATGTGGGAGGAAAGCCTGAAGTGATGCAATTTACCACTTCGGTGAAACCCACGAGCACTGGTATGGTGCTGACAAACCTAGAAACATAATCGGGGTGAACCGGGATTCGAACCCACAATCATAGGTTTCTGGCATGCTCAAGGGACGCAACTCTGCACAGCGAATCACGGCGCCTCAGACGACTGGGCCACCCGTGCTCCCGATTAAAATTGCTGAGTGCGGCGTTAAACAACAAACACATCTTATAAGACAAGTTACTCGTCTTTTTGAGGAAAAAGTATGATTGATGATTGGATAATCCCAACAAGATTATTGGTTTGTGTCATTTTGCTGTTTTACAATGTTGAGTTCAGCAGAAGAAAAACTTTAACAAACGAAACAAAAACAAACACAAATAGTAACTTCAGCACCTCGGTTATCCCAAAAGACACTGACCCATCTCTTTTTTCGTTAGTACTAAGTTGGGGTTGGGACGGGTAACTCGGGTACTCGGGTCGGGTGGGTACTGAGTAGGACCCGGGTACCCACAGGACTACCCGGACCCGTGGTAAGCACGTGATATATTGTTTAATGACAAAAACTCAGCTCAGTGGTTACACCACAAGTCCAGTCAACTTCAGTAACCACAGTGAACGCATGATCTGATCGTTTGATAAATGTATCTGAATAATTTGGGCCAGGGCGGCGGTAAAGCAATTCCCAATCAGACATTTTGTTCCCAACTCTTGAGACCTTCAGTGGGTACGGGTAGGGTCAGGTAATAGGGGGTCGTGTACCCGGGGGAAAATTTGGACTCGTCCCAGCCTTATACAAAGTAGTGAGTAGTCAATAAGCCTCAGGAAATAATTAGCTATCTTAGGTCAAGTCAGAGAGGGGGGCAAAATTGTTTATGTTCGATTATGAAAGATTACGTGACACTGCTTGGTCATTTCGACCTTTCGATCGTCCTATTATGTCAATGTCCTCAGGTTGTGAAAGGAAGATCACATTATATATACCCTGGCTTCAGCGGGAGATATACATTGTATGTGATCAAACAATATCACGATATATTCATTTGCAAATCGCCCATTGGTCGTTTGACGTTAGCGTAACATTTAAATGAACCCTTATGTACAATATTTTGGTTGTGATGTCTCATTGATCCTCAGAATAGTCAGGCTGCAGAGTTTCACTTCAATTAAAGTAGCGCCATTGGATTTGTTAGTGGCAGATAATGTCCCCAAATGGTTAATTGTAATAGTTTAAGTGGTCATCAATTTAATATATTTTGGTTGTACTCAGTGATTGAGAATAATATTGAATAATGAATGTAATTCCACCAGTGTCTTTTGATATATCACATCCTATTTTTTATATTTGAAAATCATATTTGACTATGATTTATATGATCTATGCTCAATGTGGTAATACATATGTTATGTTTGTATGTTTGTGATTGTTTGTATTTTAGCAGTAACTTATTGATTTGAGTGAGTGAGCTGGGTTCAATGCCACTTTTAACAGCATTTCAGTTTATTTAAAAATTGACTTTCACTTTGTGTGAGTTCATTGGAGTATGAACCTTCATAGGGTGAGGGCCAAACTGCATGACGCCAGTGACTTTCAAGTCTTGTCTTTTCAGTATCAAGTTGGTCAGTCTTCAAACAGTCCATCACGACAAACAACATTTAACGTGGAGGGTGAGGATAGAAGACTAGGTTATGATTAATTAGCTTCTAAATACATGCGCTTCAAACCATGGACCGAGGGTTTAAATGAGTGTTGTGTAGTTAGTGCTAAATATCTGTGTGTGTGCAATTAATGTGATATGATCTGAGAGGTATCTACAAGGTATATAATACAATTAGATGTGCAATTAGTGCTAAAGATCTGTGTGTATGCATACACAATATATATAACACAATAAAGGCATAATACAATTAATGTAACACAATACTTGAGTTTGTCTTCTTTATTTTTTGTTGTGGCCCTTATGACATTTTTTGTGGCCGTTTTGACTTTGCATTTCGAGGCCGTTCTGATATGGGGCCGTTTTGACCCGCTCCACCACGTGAGTTGGCGTCGTTAACTGATTGGCGGGGGAAGAAACAGGAAGCGTGACATGTAAATATAAATAACAACACAGCACCGGTATATTACTTTTCCAAAGCATTCGACATGGTTTGGCACAACGGGCTAATACAAAAACTTAAAAAAAATAGGACTAAAAGGACAAATCATAAACTACATCCAGGACTTTCTAAACGATCGTAAAATAACAGTGGGTATAGACCATACACTAACGGACCAGTGTCCCCTAGAAAATGGCACTCCCCAGGGCAGTATCCTCAGCCCCACACTCTTTAATATAATGATAAATGATCTTTTCGAGGGCCTATCCCCTAAAATAAACACATCCAAATTCGCAGATGACGGAACCCTCTGGATCCGCTCTAAAAGTATAAAAACCTCCCAAAATCTACTCCAAACATCCCTAATAAAATACAGCAATGTGCTGACAAATGGGGCTTCTCCCTAAACTCAGAAAAAAACAACAGGAATAGTATTCAAACACAAAAACATGAAACAGGCCACCCCTAATCTTCAGCTAAACAACAAACCAATCAGATTCCAAAAACAAACTAAATTCCTAGGCCTAATTTTCGATGAACATCTCTCATAGGATGCTCACGTAAAATACCTAACTACAAAATGCAGCAAAGACTTAAACACACTAAGATGTCTCATTGGTTCCAACTGGGGGGCCTCTTAAGATACCCTCTTCTCACTATACATTTCACTAATTACATCTAAACTAGACCAGGGCTGTGCCATCTACGATACTCTAAACCAAACTCTAACCCCAAAACTAGACTCAATACAATATCAGGCTCTTAGATTAGTCACACGTACCCAACATGGCACCTCTCTCACTTCCCTCCAGGCCCTTACAGGAGAAATGCCACTAAATCTACGCAGACAACACTTAACCTTAAACTTCTGGGCCGCGTCCCAATCAAACCCCCTCATCCAAAACCTAATAAACCAAAATATCCGACCTCAAAACCAAACTCTTAGCAGGAAACACCCTCTACTTACACCAATATCCCAACGAATAACCAACTATCTAAACGAACGCCAAATAAACAACCTAAAACAAAACTGCAAACAATCAAATATATTTACCCCAAAAGTCAAAATCCCCAAAATAGACATATCTCTAGCCAACTCAATAAACAAACCGACCCAAACATAGCTAAAACCACTACACTAGCATACATACACGAAAATTGGCCAAATTGGTGTCACATCTACACAGACGGATCCTCTGATCCGATCTCCAACCACACAGGTTTCGGAGTCCACATTGCACAACCAACCAGAAATACACAATCCTTTCGACTCCCAAACAACCATTCTATCTTTACAGCAGAGCTAATGGGCATGGCCTCAGCCCTCCATAACCAGCAATCTAAAATAAATTACAAAAACACTAATACTCACAGACCCCCTAAGTGGACTGCAGGCCCTCAAAAATAAAAACACCAAAAACCGCCCCAAACTTATAAACCAAATACTTAAAAGCGCACACACATAACAGAGGCAGGCAAACAAATAGTATTCATCTGGATCCCTGCCCACGTAGGAATATACGGCAACGAAAACGCCGATAAAGCTGCTAAACATCCCCTCAAAATCCCTGAAATAAGCTTAAAGCTACCAATATCTAAATCAGAGGTCAATAGTATTAACAAACGAAAAATCACTAAAAAATGGCACCTCTATTTAAAATCAAATAGCCAAATTAAAAAAGTTCTCAAAAAACCCTTAACCAAACCAAAAACCCTTCATCCATCCAAAAAAATCGATAGAATAATCACTAAACTCCAAACAGGACACACCAACCTAAATAGCCACCTCAAAAAAATAAAAAAAACACGCAACAGGAAAGTGCCCACACTGCAAACACCTAGAAACCCCGGAACACGCACTCATACACTGCATCCACTACCAAACACACCGAGCTACACTACCAACAACCCTCAATCTAAATAAGGCTCTTACTCTAGAAGCAATCCTAAACCCACAAAATAAAATAGAAAAATATAAAGCCCTAGTCGTATACTTAATTAAAACAGGCCTAATTAAGCGCATCTAATATCCAACAAACTACCAAAACAAACCACATACCCCCCCCCCCCCCCCCTGGGTTGCCAATTCTTCCTTATTCCCTTTTCGGAACACACTAAATGGCCCGGTCGGGCCCGTGTGCGAAATACGCTAGAGTCGGAAAGCGCACGTAAAATCCCAAATCCTACCTACCTACCTACCGGTATATTATCAGTTGCAGTTTGTATCCCAAGCGAGCAACACCTCCCAAGCCAGCACAGAGCATTGCCTGATAGCCAGCCAAGGAGAACTCCACCATCGGTAATTATCACGTTATCCTTTCATCCTTATTCACATACTCTTAAAATCACTCTCACCGAATTAATCACAAAACACAGGAACTCGTTATTGGTCAGTAAATAAAAATATATACCCCCTATAAGTAGAGAAAAGGAGCGTCACTCACCATCTTGCCGGTTTGTTTACATTCGATATCCAAGGCGATATTTTTATTATATGCTTATTGACAAGCGCATTTCTGGCCGTAGATTGATCGATAACACATTTCTACACATGTACAAGTCATCTACATTCGATTAATGTCCCTTACTTACCGAAATATCGACAGTTTATTTCGCGAGCTGGGAAAATGTTACCAACCCCGAGCGGAAGTAGATTTCAAACGCGGGCAGAATCGAGCGAGCCACGTGATTGGCGAAATTTGAAGACAGTTATCTTGAGTGACAGCAGCATCTAAAAAATGACATCAGATAATTTCTTCAAAGGGTAAATATTTATTATGAATATGCTTTTCATTTTATAATATACTTGTCATCTAAAGCTAATCTATTATTAGCTGGTGAATTTTAAACAATACATCACTATATTAATATAATAGGCACATTTTCATGTATGTTGCTTGTGCCTGATCACATTATGAATGCTGGTCATGCTGATTGAAAATGAATAAAGTGAACATTTCAAGTTAATATTTATCATAAATGCAAAAGTAATAAATCTATTTGAGAATAATAAGTTAATTAAAACATTACATGATCATATGAATATCAAACACACCCAAATCTCATGATGTTGCCATTATAATAACAATATGAAATTCTGAATTTTTACCAATGGCAGCTAAATTGCAATGTTACAATAATTCAATTTTCAGTTATGTAAAGTTCTTGAAACATTCTTATAGGTTACATGAAAAGTATGTTGAAGATAGCAAAAGTCAAAAGTGTTTGTCGGAAAATATATGAAAAAGGATTTTCCAAATATCACCACAACCAGGCACCGATAACCTGGTGATTGGACAAAAGCATCACGGTTTACCGTGGCATCAATGTGAGATCTGAACAGACTCAAAACATTGAATTTGCTGCAATATCTGATAACATTCCAAAAGACTATTTTGTACTGCAGCAAACTAAAGACTCTTTAACTGTTGGAAGGAAGACAGGATTATCCTGTAATGGGAACATGATATATTTACAAGTGAGATTTTCTACTGATTGGCATGTACATCTTTCCGTCAGTGGTACAGTAATAAATGACACTTTTGGGATTCAGTCTATACATACCGACTCAACATCCCTTAACTCATTCTTTTCAACACTGAATGTGACAAGATACTGTCAGGGCATATCACCTAACAGAATATCAGATGAAAAAGAAAATATTGTTCTTCAGCAAAATTTTGAGAAGGAACCCATTGCATACTCTGCTAACTGTTTGAAAGTATTATCTTTGAATTGTTTAAAGTCAACAGTAACATGTCAGAACTGTAGGTATTTGCTTTGGTGTATCCCACTGTAACTTTTGTCAGTCTAACCTTGTGTGTTATTGGAGTGAAGATAACCCCTGAATTCAAAACAAACTATTGAAACAAGTTCATACTTTTAATGTATCTAATTCAGTTACACTATTTTCTATAATTTACAATGTTTCGCCACTTATTGTGGATAAGTTCACTTTTTATATTTGAACTAATTTACTATATTGTTTTACAACAACATTTCTATCCTAAATTCCCGTCTTGGGACTAAACTATACGCACATGTTGCCACCTGACAACTTTTGCACTACTGAACACAAAACCACAGTAGCGTAACATGTTAAGTTCCTCTTGCACGTGAAACACAACATTTTCGTGTCCAATGAATGTTCGTTTGGGTGCGTTTTGGCGCACTGTTTTTAATGCTGCGTTTTTGCGCACAGTCCTTCTGTCCAGTTATTGTTTCAATCCATACATCACTTGTGAATGGATGTTGGCCAGGATCTTGGTACAAGTCATTGGCATAAGGGGGAATTTGAAAGAAATCCCCAACACACACAATCTGCAATCCTCCAAAATTCAAACTTGGGTCTCTAATACTCCTGCATATGAATTCAAGCTGAAATTAAACAGTATAAATTGTGTACATGGAGCATATGTTAACAAGAAAATAATAGGAGCCGTGGGAATAGGCATGTATTAAATATTCCACAAGAATATCACGGGAGGACAGTCGAAAACGAAGTCACAGACGAGTATGGCTCAGACATGGAACATACCACCCCCACCAAACCAGCCAACTCGCCTTCACAATACACAAACCCCCAAAAATGCAAGCTCGACTCATCCACTCCACCACTTTCTCCCAAACCCACCCCGGCTTCCTTCATCACCAACTTCGCACTATACTTCTTCGCCGCAGGCTCAGCATCAATCCTAACTAAACAACTCTCAGCAGACAGGATAGGTTTATGGTTAAAACGCGAAAAAATCCATTACAGCAACATCAAAAAAGCAAATAAAGGTTACCAAATAATATTCCCAAATCAAGATTCCTTCAATGCAGCTAAAAAAATAGTACGAATATTTCACGTAACCGTAACAAAACAAATTCCACATTAACAGCAATTCACCCAAGGTGTAATGAGAGTAAACCCTAGAGAAACAGCCAGGACCTAGAACTCTACACCCAAGAAGCAAACACAAATCAATACCCTCAACCCCAAATAACCAACACCCGCAGGATAACCTCAAGCAGAAACGGCAAAACAGTCCCTACCTCAATCGTTATTGTAAACTTAAAAAAACCTGCTAAATTTCCTGAAGCCCCTAAACACATCTCTTTCGGTGCCCGCACTAAACTAGAAGTTAAACCATACATCAAACAGGTCAAACAATGTTCTAACTGCCTTAGATATAACCACACAGCCACCCAATGTACATTAAAAAAAAAAAAATGTAAAAAATGCGTCCAAACCGATTGCCCAGGCACATCCCTGGTGCATCCATTGCAAATGCGAAAAACATACATCACTCTCAAACCAGTGTCTGCACAGACATGCCCTAACACAACAGGCCAACAAACACATAAACATAGATTCGGCCAAAACCCAAACAAGAAAATATGCACCACCTACATCCAAACCTCTCCTCCCACACCACACTCAAACACCACACACAAACTCCCGGATTCTGTCTGGGGCAACCACATAGAAACCGCACCCACAACATCCACACATCACCTCACACAGCTACCTACTAACTCCCCCATACCACACACTTCTACAACATCAACACCCGCATGCAAAGCAAACAGCAAAACCACAGACACACAACGACCCTCAGCCAGACACTCTACACTTCCCCACAAGCAAGCACAACAACAAAACACAAACACTGAGGAAAACACAGCTACACCCAACATGCAAGCACAAACTCAACCCCATCACACCACAAACACCTCCACAAGCCTCCCCAATGGAAACTCCAACAATAAAAACCAACCTAAACGACAAAGACAAGTATTCTTCCACCGAGGAAATAAATGAAATCACTTTCTCAGCCCCTTAAACAAACAAAAACTTCAGGCACAAATATCCTCAATTAACTAGCACTAAAACTCTTAATAATCTCACACTACTCCTAGCCTACATGCATAAGCAAAGCTCACCGAATGCTAGCACTAAAGCTTTTCACTCAGTAGCGCAAAAACTAAAACTCAACTCTCTCCTTTGAGTTCTTTCTCTCCCAACTAAGGAAAGCTACCAATTAAACACAACCTAAAACTCAAAACAAACTAATAACCTCTCATCCCCCAAAATGGAAGGACTAAATATATTTCAGTGGAACGCCAACAGATTAGCCTCCCACGGCCAGGAATTAAAAGCTAAATTCAAACGAGACAAAGGTCCACACATAGTCTGTATACAGGAAACTAAATTCTCTACTAGATCTAAATTCACCCTACCAAACTATAACTCAATAAGAACTGACCGAGCCAAAACCAACCCAGGTAGAGCCGGAGGCGGCCTAATCATATACGTCAGGGAAGACTTAGGCTACAAAGAACTAAAAATAAACACACCAAACCTAGAAGCAAACAGTATCCAAATAACAAATAACAACCAAAAAATTAATATCATAAATATATACCACTGGGTAGAAAAACAGGTCAAACCTGAGGATTTAAACAACCTCCTCCAAATAGGCAATAAATCTACAATCTTCCTACCTGGGGTATAGAAGATAAAATAGACAAACACGGAAAACTCATCTCAGAATGGATAGAACAAAATGACCTAATACTACTAAATAACAACCAACCTACTAGATACGACAAAATACACCACAAAATGTTGGCTATCGACTTAACCATATGCACCCCAGATTTAGCCCAAAGTATTCAATGGGAAGTACACGGAGTACCACTAGGTAGTGACCACTTCCCCATAAATATAACTATGGGAGACGTAAACATCCCACCACCAACCCAAAACCAGGAACCTAAACCTAAACAATTCAACAAACCCCACTCAAAAAGCTAATAACCTAGCAAATCACTTCTCGGCCGTCAGTAGCAATAGCAACTTCAACCAAAAATTCCAGGAACAACTAAAATCAGAAACCAAATTTACCAAAGAGCCAAAAGATAATAACCTAGAAATTAATCTCCATTTCACAATGGGCAAAAAGGGCACAGCCCCAGGCTTAGACCTTACTTCATACCAGATAATTAAACAACTACCACCCAAACTACTCCAAACTGTTCTAAAACTCTATAACCTCATATATCTAAATGGACAGGTCCCATCACCTTGTAAACAAGCCCTGGTCATACCAATCCCAAAACCCAATAAACCAGCTGACCAGGCTAATTCATACAGACCAATCTCCCTAACTTCTAACTTCTGCAAAGTAATGGAATCAATGTAAAAAAACAGGTTACAACACTACTTAGAACAAAACAACATAATAAATCCAGACCAAAGCGGTTTCACTCCTGGCCGCTCAACCTTAGATAACCTCGCCCGACTAGAGCAGGACGTTAAAACAGGGCAACTTAACAAACAATATACTACAGGCATCTTTCTAGACTTCTCCAAAGCATTCGACATGGTTTGGCATCACGGGCTAATACAAAAAAAAAAAAAAATAGGTCTTAAAGGTCAAATAATTAACTACATCCAAAGTTTCCTAACAAACCGCAAAATCACTGTGGGCATAGACCAAACGCTATCGGACCAATGTCCCCTAGAAAATGGCAATCCCCAGGGCAGCATCCTAAGCCCAACACTCTTCAATATTATGTTTAACAATCTATTCGAGGGACTATCCCCCAAAGTAAACACATCAAAATTCGCGGATGATGGAGCCCTCTGGATCCGCACTAAAAGCATTAAAATGGCCCAAAACTTACTACAAAAATCTCTAAATAAAATACAAAAATGGGCTGACAAATGGGGCTTCTCCCTAAACTCAGAAAAAACCACAGGAATAGTATTTAAACACAAAAATATGCAACCCGCCTCCCTAAACCTCCAACTAAACAACAAACAAATCAAATTCCAAAAACAAACCAAATTCTTAGGATTAATCTTCGATGAACATCTCACCTGGGATGCTCACATTAAAAACCTAGTAACCAGATGCAGCAAAGACCTAAACACGTTATCATGCCTAACCGGCTCCAACTGGGGGGCCTCTAAAAACACCCTCCTCTCACTCCTCTCACTCTATATATCGTGTATTGTGTACTTTCGATTATGTTCGTGTATTATTCTTGCCAATTTATATAATGGATAATTTAATGATTTTAAGTGCCTCATAGATCCTTCATGGGTCGGCTGATGTTTTTATCAATCATACGTATGTATACGTGTAATGTTTTTTACTGTTTTTAAACACCAGGTGGCACTATAATAAAATAATTTTCTTCTTCTTCTTCTTCTTCTATATCACTAATTAGATCCAAACTAGACTATGGCAGTGCCATTTACGACACCTTAAACAACTCTCTCATTAGAAAACTAGACTCAATCCAGTATCAGGCCCTAAAACTAATCACACGAACTCAACATAGCACCTCCTCCACCTCACTCCAGGCCTTAACAGGAGAAATGCCACTTAACTATGTAGGGAACAACTTACCCTAAACTTCTGGGCCGCATCCCAATCAAACCCTCTAATCTAAAACTTGATAAAAAACAATATTAGCCCTAGAAACCAAGCCCTAGCCCGGAAACATCCACTACTTACTCCAATTTCCCAAAGAATAACCAATTACCTAAATGAACACAAAATAAATAATCTTAAACAAAACAATAAATCATCTAATATCTTCACTCCAAAACTTAAAATACCAAAAATAGACACAACACTAGTCGATACACTAAATAAACAGACCGATCCTAACATCGCTAAAACCACCACACTAGCATACATACACGAAAATTGGCCAAATTGGTGTCACATATACACAGACGGATCCTCAGATCCGATCTCAAAACACACAGGTTTCGGAGTCCACATCGCACAACCAACCAAAAACACACAATCTTACCGACTCCCAAACAACCATTCCATATTCACGGCCGAACTAATGGGCATGGCCTCAGCACTACACAATCAGCAATCTAAAAAACACCAAAAATACCTCATCCTAACCGACTCCCTCAGTGGACTACAAGCCCTCAAAAATAAAAACATTAAAAACCACCCCAAACTAATAAATCAAATACTTAATAGCTCAAACAAGTTAACTAGGGCAGGTAAACAAATAGAGTTCATTTGGATCCCCGCCCACATAGGAATCTTTTAAAATGAAAGGGCAGATAAAGCAGCAAAATTATCCCTTAAACTCCCAGAAATAAGCTTAAACTTACCCAGCTCAAAATCAGAAATCAAAAGTGTCACTAAACAAAAAATGGCAAAATATATACCAAAACTCAAATAGCCAAATAAGGAAAGTACTCAAAAAAACCCCTAAATAAACCAAAAATACTACACCCGTCCAAAAAAATCGACAGAATAATTACTAAACTACAAACAGGCCACACCAAACTAAATAATCACCGTAAAATAGCTAATCTACACACAACAGGAAACTGCCCACATTGCAAACAACAAGAAACACCAGAACACGTACTCATTCACTGCACACACTACCAAACACACCGAACAACACTACAGACCACCCTAAATCTTAAAACAGGACTTACACTAGAATCAATCCTAAATCCGCAAAATAAATTAGAAAAATTCAAAGCCTTAAGCATATACCTAATTTAAACAGGACTAATTAGTCGCATTGAAACCCCAAATAAAATAATAAAACCAAAACTACCTTATCTTACAACCACCCAACACACACAGCTCCTTTAGTTCGTCCCCCACCCACTCTTGGCATTCTTTCCAAATCTCAAAATTACTATGTAAGCAACCCCTAAAGCCCCCCTCCTGGGTTGCACAAACTCACTTTTCCCCTTTTTGGAAACACATTAAATGGCCTGGCCGGGCCTGTGTGCGACATACGCTTGCAGTCGGAAAGCGCACGTTAAATCTCCAATATAAGTAAGTAAGTAAGGTATATTATGAGTGTATGGCTAAATATACGTCAATTGTCAACAGGAATCGACAGGCGTTGGACGTATACAGTGTTGGCAGTGTAAAAGTAAGAGTAAAAACGATATTTGAGAATGTTTTGCTCACTTACTGTAAGGAAGAGAGTTTTTGGATGTGAACTTATACATTACATGGAACACAACGTTTCGGAGTATTCACCTGATGAAGGAGTTAGCATATACTCAGAAACGTTGTGTTCCTCATAACAATGAAGTTGCAATCCATAAACTCTCGTCCTCGTATCACTTCTAAATGCCATTCAAAGACTTCATTTGTTGTATTTTCGCGATTTATTGTTTTATGAATGATCGGTGCTAAATAATTATCTCCACATCACAAATCAGGTTACCGATGTATTGGTATATGGTCTCTGGGCCTACAAAATATCGTCAGGGAATTGTTTTTTTTTTTTTTTTTAAATATCGCTTGGAGACCACGGCTAATGTAGCCTTGACACGATCCCCATGCTTAAATATAAAACAACATGCAGTGACACGGAGAATTTTAGGCTTCCGTAACGTGCGGCCGAAATTGGGGGTAGAATAGGTGAGATGCATGACAATATAGCTTTACTCATCAAAGTGTCTATATCGCCAGCTCTCTGTAGGGTGCCATGCTTGTAAGAGGCGACTAATGGGATTGGGTGGTCAGGCTCGCTGACTTGGTTGATGCATGTCATGGTATCCCAAGTGCTTTGATCGATGCTCATGATGTCAATCCCTCGATTGTCTGGTCCAGACTCAATTATTTACAGACCGCCGTCATATAGCTGGAATATTGCCGAGTGCTGCGTTAAACAACAAATGAACCAACCAACCAACTGTAGGGTGCCAGTGATCGGATGTAGAGGATAAATACACAGATGGGAATAGGAATGGGAACATGTCATGACATATATGTTTATCTAAATGTGTGGACTAGTAAAAAATGAAAGCATATTTATATTGTATTCTAGGATTTGATAAACACTGTCTTGTAATCTAATCAAGTTGGCGATTAGTATTTTGTAACTCAGCCATAAGAAAAAAATGTGAGTGTTTTCTTAAGTTTGCCTCTGTAGAAAAACAAGACTGAAGCCAGTTTACTCTGCACAGCGTTTACATTGCCGGCTTCACTGTGCGGAGCTCTGATGTTTTGGTTTGAGAACTGACTTGGGCATCTGACGTCACACTTTTTCACAAATTAATTCATGCATGATTTCACATAATCGTCAATGTACTGTCCCTTTAAGGATTGATATATAGAATAAGTAATATATCAATTCCAAAGTGTTTTTTGTTGATTTTTAGAAACCTTTTTTTAAAAAATTGCAGCAATGTCTAAAATCATCAACATGCTGAAGAGAAAGGGCCCCGATCAACAGACCGCCGCTGTCACCTGTGTGGTGGTTGGGGCAGGCATGCGGGGATGTACATACGCAGCTTATGCACAGTTCTGCCCAGACAAAATGAGGGTGAGGAGGAAGGTGGTGGCAGACACAGCCATTCATTGTCAGGAGTTTAACTAGTGTCTGTCTTTTGTATGAATGTTTCCGGAATATTATCTTTCCTTAAACCCCAATATGCACATTAAAATTAATACCCATCTTCAGTGTCAGACATAGATACAAAACAACCCTTAATGACTGGTGGTTAACGTGTGCTGCAGAGCTATGCATCTACTACCCTGACAAACAGAGGGAGAGTATAGTGAGGGAGGGAGGGATGCATCTACTACCCTGACAGACAGACGGAGAGTATAGTGAGGGAGGGAGGGATGCATCTACTACCCTGACAGACAGAGGGAGAGTATAGTGAGGGAGGGAGGGGTTCATCTACTACCCTGACAAACAGAGGGAGAGTATAGTGAGGGAGGGAGGGAGGGGTTCATCTACTACCCTGACAGACAGAAGGAGAGTATAGTGAGGGAGGGAGGGAGGGGTTCATCTACTACCCTGACAGACAGAGGGAGAGTATAGTGAGGGAGGGAGGGAGGGAGGAGTCATCTATTACCCTGACAGGCAGAGGGATGCATCTACTACCCTGACAGACAGAGGGAGAGTATAGTGAAGGAGGGAGGGAGGGGTTCATCTACTACCCTGACAGACAGGGATGCATCTACTACCCTGACAGACAGAGGGAGAGTATAGTAAGGGGGGGGTGCATCTACTACCTTGACAGACAGAGGGAGAGTATAGTGAGGGAGGGAGGGAGGGGTTCATCTACTACCCTGACAGACAGAGGGAGAGTATAGTGAGGGAGGGAGGGAGGGGTTCATCTACTACCCTGACAGACAGAGGGAGAGTATAGTGAGGGAGGGAGGGATGCATCTACTACCCTGACAGACAGAGGGAGGGAGGGGTGCATCTACTACCCTGACAGACAGAGGGGGGGAAGGGTGCATCTACTACCCTGACAGACAGAGGGAGAGTATAGTGAGAGAGGGAGGGAGGGGTTCATCTACTGCCCTGACAGGCAGAGGGGTGCATCTACTACCCTGACAGACAGAGGGAGAGTATAGTGAGGGAGGGAGGGATGCATCTACTACCCTGACAGGCAGAGGGAGGGAGGGGTGCATCTACTACCCTGACAGACAGAGGGAGAGTATAGTGAGGGAGGGAGGGAGGGGTGCATCTACTACCCTGACAGACAGAGGGAGAGTATAGTGAGGGAGGGAGGGAGGGGTGCATCTACTACCCTGACAGACAGAGGGGGGAGGGGTGCATCTACTACCCTGACAGACAGAGGGAGAGTATAGTGAGGGAGGGAGGGAGGGGTGCATCTACTACCCTGACAGGCAGAGGGAGAGTATAGTGAGGGAGGGAGGGAGGAGTCATCTACTACCCTGACAGACAGAGGGAGAGTATAGTGAGGGGGGGAGGGAAGGAGGGATGCATCTACTACCCTGACAGACAGAGGGGGAGAGTATAGTAAGGGAGGGAGGGATGCATCTACTACCCTCACAGACAGAGGAAGAGAATAGTGAGGGAGGGAGGGAGGAGTCATCTACTACCCTGACAGACAGAGGGAGAGTATAGTGAGGGAGGTAGGGGTTCATCTACTACCCTGACAGACAGAGGGAGAGTAAGGTAAGGTAAGGGAGGGAGGGAGGGAGGGAGGGATGCATCTATTACCCTGACAGACAGAGGGAGAGTATAGTGAGGGGGGGGAGGAGAGGAGGGATGCATCTACTACCCTGACAGACAGAGGGGGAGAGTATAGTAAGGGAGGGAGGGATGCATCTACTACCCTCACAGACAGAGGAAGAGAATAGTGAGGGAGGGAGGGAGGGGTTCATCTACTACCCTGACAGACAGAGGGAGAGTATAGTGAGGGAGGGAGGGAGGAGTCATCTACTACCCTGACAGACAGAGGGAGAGTATAGTGAGGGGGGGAGGGAAGGAGGGATGCATCTACTACCCTGACAGACAGAGGGGGAGAGTATAGTAAGGGAGGGAGGGATGCATCTACTACCCTCACAGACAGAGGAAGAGAATAGTGAGGGAGGGAGGGAGGGGTTCATCTACTACCCTGACAGACAGAGGGAGAGTATAGTGAGGGAGGTAGGGGTTCATCTACTACCCTGACAGACAGAGGGAGAGTATAGTGAGGGAGGGAGGGAGGGGTTCATCTACTACCCCGACAGACAGAGGGAGAGTAAGGTAAGGTAAGGGAGGGAGGGAGGGAGGGAGGGATGCATCTATTACCCTGACAGACAGAGGGAGAGTAAGGTAAGGTAAGGGAGGGAGAGAGGGATGCATCTACTACCCTGACAGACATAGGGAGAGTATAGTGAGGGGGGGGAGGGAAGGAGGGATGCATCTACTACCCTGACAGACAGAGGGGGAGAGTATAGTGAGGGAGGGAGGGAGGGAGGGAGGAGTCATCTACTACCCTGACAGACAGAGGGAGAGTATAGTGAGGGAGGGAGGGATGGATGCATCTACTACCCTGACAGACAGAGGGGGAGAGTATAGTAAGGGAGGGAGGGATGCATCTACTACCCTCACAGACAGAGGAAGAGAATAGTGAGGGAGGGAGGGAGGGGTTCATCTACTACCCTGGCAGACAGAGGGAGAGTATAGTGAGGGAGGTAGGGGTTCATCTACTACCCTGACAGACAGAGGGAGAGTAAGGTAAGGTAAGGGAGGGAGGGAGGGAGGGAGGGATGCATCTATTACCCTGACAGACAGAGGGAGAGTAAGGTAAGGTAAGGGAGGGAGGGAGGGAGAGAGGGATGCATCTACTACCCTGACAGACAGAGGGAGAGTAAGGTAAGGTAAAGGAGGGAGGGAGGGAGGGAGGGATGCATCTATTACCCTGACAGACAGAGGGAGAGAGTATGGTGAGAGAGGGAGCTCTTTTTTGTGCACTGAAGTTCTTAAGTACATTGTTCATTGCTCTTTCTTCACATTAGAAATCGTTTGTTTGTGAGTTGTTCATTGGTATTGTTTTGTATTTTGAGTTCATTATTTGTGTGTAAATAATGACCTCTTCTTGTAACATTCATTCTTTATTCGTAACATTTGGTAATCATTTTGTAGTCAAAACATGGTTAAAGATGTTTTACAGAAAACAAAATTGTTTATATTGTTGTAAATTTAATCTGATGAACAAAGAGTTTGAAGCCATGTTTTCTCTTTGAATACTATACGAAGATTGAATGAAGGATTCCTGTGTGCTTGTCCAGGTGGTCGGTGTGGCTGAGCCCAGAGAGTATCAAAGAAATAAGGTCAAGGACAGAAACAAAGTCCCATCAAGCAATGTCTTCACAGGTAGGACAGTGATCACAACAGTGTAGCACTGATGAATACTGCATTTGGTTGAAGAATACTTTTTCTCACTTTTTCAGCATTACTTTTTTCACTTTTCTAAGCACAACAAATAATGGAACCTGTTTTATTCTGAGAAGCTGTTACAATATGACACGAGTTGTGAAGACTTTAGTCAGAGACAATATATCGGTATATGGTCTCTGCTTTAGTCAATGTCTTATCTGGCCACTGTGTGGCATTACAAGCATGACACCTGGCGGCCATCTTGCTTACAAATGATGGATTGTAGTCCTTGGAAGGCGCTGTTGCTCTTCCTGCAGTGAGACAATGACTTCACTGAGATAGGCTGCACCAGCTGTCATGCAAAGACCTGACCCAAAGCATCCCAAAGATGTTCAATTGGAGATAAATCTGTTGATTTAGGTGGACAGGGAAGGATGGCAACACCTTGTTGCTAACAACGTTCACAGTGACTCTGTGTGGCTTTGCAGTATCATCTTGGGAAGCAAAGTTCTGACCCACTGTTTTTGCCATAGAAGCAAGAATGGATCTCAAAAACTCGCCCTCATGACATTGACCATGTCATGTTACCACGGCTGTGTATAATGTCTGTCCACCTGTCACATGAGATTCCTCTCCACACCCCAACGCTCCCACCCCCATACCAATCGGGTTCCAGGCAGTTCCATGAAGATCCGGGGTAGAATAGGTCTTCAGCAACCCATGTTTGCCGTAAAAGGTGACTATGCTTGTTGTAAGAGGCGACTAATGGGATCGGGTGGTCAGACTCGCTGATTTGGTTGATGCATGTCATGGTATACCAATTGCTTTGATTGATGCTTATGATGTCAATCACTGGATTATCTGGTCAAGACATGATTATTTACAGACCACTGTCATATAGCTGGAATATTGCTGAGTGCGGCGTTAAACAACAAACAAACAAAACAAACAATCATAGTTATGAAAGTCATGTTGCTGCTGTACCTCTACATGAATGTATCCCCACAGACTGGCGTGAAGCGGTCGAGAGAGACAAGTTTGCTGACTGCGTGATCATCACAACAGTGGACCAAGACCACAAGGTATGTTGTCCGCATGTCCACAACATCATCAAAGAGGGATATGTGCATCGGTTTGTTGAATTTTTATTCCTTTCATGGGGATTGGGGGCAGAAATCTCCATCAACCTATGCTTGTAAGAGTGATTGAGTGAGTGAGTTAGGTTTAATTTTGCTTTGAACAGTATTCCAGTTCCATAGTATGTCTGTTCAATGTGGAAGGAAAGACCAAAGTGACGCAAGTCTATACCACTTTGGTGAAACCCACTAGAAGGGTATAGTGCTGACAATCCTAGAAAAATAATCGGCGAGAACCGGGATTCGAACCCACGATCATAACTTTCTGCTGTGTCCAAGGGACGTAACTCTGCACAGCTAATTGCAGCACCTTACACAAACTGGGCCACCAATGCCCCCCACTTGTGTTAAGGGATATCACCTGTGTGTGGAATGGTTGTCCTCTACATCCTTCATGATTCTCATGTTAGCATGGTATGTAGAAATGTTCTTGTCAACAGAGTTGTCTAATGACAATCACATTGTTACAATGTTGTTTTTGTGACCTGGCTACATTTGTGTCCTGGCATTGATTATTGCTCATGCCATCGGCCACTGGTTTGCCTGCAAATGTTTGTGGAGTAAATGCCATTCACTCACTACGTGCCACTTTCAGGATCCTGCCATTGCATTTGCCAAGAAGGGTTATCACATTCTGCTGGAGAAGCCCATGGCTGTAAGTATTTTGAAGGCTAAACGTTTCACATGTGGACATGGAAATCCAAACTAAGTGCCCTTGGCAGGTAAATGTCAAAAATCTTTATTTTGTTCAAACTTTTGTAAAGTTTTAATTTTCCAACATTCAAAGTTTTTTTTAACATTGAGTTTAAATATTTACATTTAATTAAGCATTGTAGCCTTTTCCTCATTTTGAAATAAGCATACTATAACTTTGAATCCGACAACAAAACAATGTATTCCGTTTTTTAATTCTAAATATTTTAGGCTGGTGCACCATTAAACAAATGAGAGACACTCCTGTTGAAGAAAAAAGACAAATGTGAATAATTTACATTTGATTTAAAAAGAAATAATCTTATGTAACAGGGCACCCACAGATGACATCCTTACCATGTCAGCTTGCTGACTGGGTTAACCTCTTTGGTCATGTGGACAAGGCATCCGACCTCTGATCAGAATCCCATCACGGGACTTGGAAATTTTATGGCCGCTACATTGGCGCCCAACGTGGGGCTGAGCGCGTTCATAATAAATTTGAGTTAAATAAGCCTCAGTACCCTACTGTACAGCCTGGGACATGTCTTCTGTTGACGGGGAAGTATGTAGCAGGGCATGGAGTCATCCCACAGATGACACATTTTCCCTGTCAGCTTGCTTCCTTGACAGTTAACCTCTTTGGTCATGTGGACAAGGCGTCCGACCTCGGAGCAGAAGGTCCATGGTTCAAATCCCATCACAGGACTCGGAAATTTTTTGGCCACTACACTTACAAGGCTTAATGCAATTTTATGTGCTTGCAATCTCCGATGTCAGGTTACGGAGGCAGATTGTCGGGAAATCGTGACGACGTGCAAGCACCACAACGTGTGTCTGGCCGTCTGTCATGTGCTGCGCTATGTTCCCTGGGCCAAGAAAATCAAGGAGGTCATCGCCAGCGGCAGGATAGGGGAGGTTGTCAATATACAGCACACGGAGCCGGTAAATACTTACCCTTCATAATAAACTTAATTATTATGCAAACAATTATTTTCTTATTATTATTTGTTTTTTGCTTTTTTACCCCAAAACATTTACGGGTATTGTTTATAGGGACAGGAAATCAACCGTTCTGAAGCTTTGTTTGTAAACAATAGCTGAACAGGTACTCGGCTCTGCTTGCCTTATTTCACGAGACAATTTTTCTGCTCAGTGACCACACCGCAGGTGTAGGCTTATCATGTGACAGGATTTTTCTCTTGTTTGTAAACAAATGCACTTATTCTGAAACTAGAACAGACTGGCCTAATGCAAGCCTTTCGGTCTTTACATATTGTTTTGCAGGATTATATAGATATACTCCAACAACTCCGTCAGTGAGGTGCATGACAATATAGCTTCACCCATCAAGGTGACTGTATTGCTAGCTCTCCGTAGGGCCTGAATGATGGCAAGTGGAGGAAACATGCACAAATGACAATAGTTTTTCATGTTTTAGGATATTTTCTCAATGAAAGCAATGTTTATCTAAATGTGTAGACTCTTCAAATATGAAAGAGATGCAAAGCACATGCATGGAACGAATGTGTACATGATTTAAAAACACTCAGAACTGACGACGTTCTATCCCTTTAAATGAAGTGAAATTTGAAGTGAGAAATCAATGAGTTACCTCCCTTTCCATGTGACCAACCAAGCTCCTTCCCAGCGTGTGACACCTTCGTTACACTCCGGGATCTCGAAATTGGCCCTCTAACAACAAATGTTTTGACATTCATAGTTTTGTGTATTTCTTTTGGAATGCCATTATAGTTAATTTTTAAAAGGTTTAAGACTGACTTACAATTTCCCAGACGTTTTGTTTGTTAAGTTAGATTGGTTTGAGGTTGCAGACTAACAGCAAAAGCACCCAACTTCCCCGTTGTTCTAACCATAACATGAAATAGAAATGAAATATAAATTCAAATTGACAGAGAAAATAATTAGATGGGGGAACAGTATTCGGCGTCCTGATTTCATCACTTTATTTGTAAACATAATTGGCCAACTCTCAATATCCATGTTGACTTCATGTTATTCTTGTGTTGGAGAAAGACACAAATTGATACATATTGTGTCAAAATGTCTCCATAATTATATACTGTATATTTGTTATACTTTGGAACTTATTTTACTATGAGTAATACCTTTTCTTACAGTTTTTACTGTTTAAATGGTAAGGTAGACACAATTTTATAGATCCTTATACCGTTGTCAAGCAAGACTGAATGAGTGACTGACTGATATAGAAGATTTAACGTGCGCTTTCCGACTGCAGTGTATTTCGCACACGGGCTGAATGAGGGACATAGTACAGAATATATACAGTATGTGGAGGATTAACAGTAGAGGATTAACAGTAATAACAATTGCTTACATGAGTGGGATAGCATTGGTAAGTGTAGACAACAAAGGGATAATACTGTCACAACACGATGGACAGAGAACACATAGGTGGAAGCCAATGGGACATGAAGCCAATACACAGGATAAGTGATTGTTGCTTGATGAGTTCATAGTAGACGGATGGGATGAAATAGCCTTGATCTCTGTTGATTGATGGCTTGTGGCGGCGAATGTGGACTGCTTCTGGTAGTTTTCTTTAAGTGAAATCATGGAGGTTGTTGGAGAGGATTTGGACATTGTCCCAGTTGATGTAGTGATTAGGACAGTTGCTGATATGGTCCGAGATGGCTGAGTTACTGTCAGATTTAATGGTGGAGGTTTTATGATAAATGGTGCTTAGTTGCCACACAAAGAAGTCATGGTGTCTGAATGTTGCTGATATGGTCCGAGATGGCTGAGTTACTGTCAGATTTAATGGTGGAGGTTTTATGATAAATGGTGCTTAGTTGCCACACAAAGAAGTCATGGTGTCTGAATGTTGCTGTTTCTACATATTTAATGAGTATAAATATTAACATTTAACAGGTCGGTTTCCAGCATTTTGCTCATTCCTTTGTTCGCGGAAACTGGCGCAATGCCAGCCAGAGTTCTAATTCGCTGCTTGCGAAGTGTTGCCATGACGTCGACCTCATCAAATACTGGTTTGGGGATACAAGATGTCAGAAAGTGTCATCCTTCGGGAATCTGACACACTTCAGAAGAGCAGATAAGGTATTGTCCCTACTTACAGATAAGGTATTATCTTCACGTGCAACCTTACCCATGCTTTGTTAAGACAGGCTGCTTGGACTAGAACCCTTCCCTTCATTGCAGTGCTTGCTTGATGATTTGTTTGTTGTTTGTTTGTTGTGTTAGTGTTAGTGTCGTAAAAGGTTGGTTGGTTGGTTTGTTGTTTTTCGCCACACTCATCAATATTCCAGCTATATGATGGCGGTCTGTAAATAATCAAGTCTGGACCAGACAATCCAGTGATTGAGCATTGATCTACTTAATTGGGATACGATGACATACATCAACCACTTACGACAAGCATAGTTGCCTTTTATGGCAAGCATGGGTTGCTGAAGAGCTATTCTACCCCGAATCTTCACGTGTCGCTTGCTTGTTTGACACAAGTTTATTAAAAACCTATCTTTTACTTTTATTTGCCCGTGTCATGTTGGCTGATGAAGTAGCTGTTCTACACACTTTCAATGCCTTTTATTTTTATGAAATTCAATTAAACACTGCGGGGAGAATAAAACATGAGGTTTATTCTCCCTGCAGTTTTTTTTTGTATGACAAACAACGACCACGAGTTGTTTATTTTTTATGAGATATCAACATGATGTTCGGCCCCTTTTAGGATGATAATAAAATATACAAGCTTTAAAAACATTTACCCATAGTCCCCCAACTCAATCCAACCTTGACATTGCTGGACAAGTCCTTTTTATGCACAGGTGGGTATTTCTCGCATATTCTCACAATCCTCACGTCGACTATCTGTACCTTTTCTCCCAATACCGATTGTCATATCTCTCCCGCTTATGGAGCTACATCTATTGGAAATAACTCACCAGACACTCCCCGCTCAAAAATAACATCCACTTTACAATGTCATTAAGTGGCGCGCTCATGTTTAAACCCGGTTCGCCCCGATGTTTCTAGGTTTGTCAGCACCATACCCGTGCTCTTGGGTTTCACCGAACTGGTTAACGTCTGAGACCTGCATCACTTCGGGCTTTCCTCCCACATTAAGCTGACACGCAGTGATATAACTGGAATACTGTTTAAAGCGGCGTAAAACCCAACTCACTCACTCACTCATGTTTGAATCTCCAGGAATGACATTATAGAACAATAATTTATCGGGCTAGAGTAGGTCTTCAGCAATCCATGCTGGCCGTAAAAGGTGACTTTGCTTGTCGTAAGAGGCGACTAACGTGATCGGGTGGTCAGGCTCACTGACTTGGTTGATGCATGTCATCGTATCCCAATTGCGTGGATCGATGCTCATGATGTCAATCACTGGTATGTCTGGTCCAGACTAAATTATTTACAGACCGCCGTCATATAGCTGTAATATTGCTGAGTGTGGCACAAAACAAGAAACAAACAACATATGTATACATTTGAAGTGAGACATGGAGAGCTGTAGGGCTGGGACGAGTCCAAATTTACTACCCGGGTACCCACCCCACTATTACCCGACACAACCCGGGTACTCGCTGTTGGTCTCAGGAGGTACCGTAGCTCTGGTAAAATGTGTTTCGATACATGAATGAAACAATCTGGTGTATACACTGAAGTTGACTGAAGTTTTATTTTTGTCCAAACATATAAAAGTCAGAAGGAATGGGCGTCATAGCCAGGAAGAACTGTGAACATGACTGACTTGTAGTTTAAACAGAGTTTTAGATACTTTTTATCATCAAACAGTATGTCATGTGACTAACCACGTGTCCGGGTAGTCCTGTGGGTACCCGGGTCCTACTCAGTACCCACCCGACCCGAGTACCCGAGTACCCGAGTTATCCGTCCCAGCCCTAGAAAACTGTATTTAGGATATTCTTTCTTCCAATCATGCAGTGGTTCATGAATCAATCTTTAACGGATAATATCAATCAAACATCCATGTTTTCAGCCTGTGGGGGCAGCGTCTCGTTGCACTGACTGTCCCCAGGAGATCGAGACCTCCTGTCCGTACTCGGCCAAAAGATACTACCTTGATCAGGTCAAATCTGTGAGTTTTCTGAGGCTATTTGTATGAACATTTGGATAATAACCAATGAGATACGATTGTTTGTTTTGTTTGTTGTTTAACGCTGCACACAGCAACATTCCAGCTATATGACGGCCAAATGAGATACCATGGAATTATGGATTATCTGCCCTGAATGAATGCATGGTGTAAGCCTTTGCAGAAGGAGTGGCACTAATGATGGGCTGGTAATCCTAAGGGAGAGACCATTTGATCTTCAGGTTGAGGAGGGGGCAGTATTTTGGTTTAAGATCAGTTTCTTTTTAATGTGTATGAAGCATGGCGTGGAGTCATCCCACAGATGACATCCTTACCTTTTCAGCTTGCTGACAGTGTCAACCTCTTTGGTAATGTGGACAATTTGTCCGACCTCTGATCAGAACGTCCGTGGTTTGAATCCCATCACAGGACTCGGAACTTTTATGGCTGCGACATGTAGGAGATCAATTACTTTTCCAACCAAAACGGTGCTCAATTATTTTTTTCCGGAAAATAAATAAATATAACAAACTGTATTCGTTGGACATTTTAATATAACCTACAGGAAAATGACACATTATGATTTTTCCTCCAATGCGAATCCTTTGTTATTTTTGTTTTTAGTAACATATGGGCTTGATTATGTTTGTTTATCGTTGCTCCATTATTTTCAAATTGTATATCTGTTATTCTTTATATCAATCATCATATTAAATCAAGAAATCATATGAAATGTCAACTCTACAGAGAAACTTCCCTGGAGTCAGCCTATTGTTCATGATATGTGAAGAATAGATGATGTCATACCATACTTTCCTCAACTATGAACAATGTGACATATCACTTAATCTTTCCAATTGGCAACGAGAAACTTGAATATTGGTTGCTAGAAGTAGCATGGGTGGCGCAGTCTGAGGCACTGCAAGGCAGTGTGCAGAGTTATGTCCCTTACTTGGAGACCCAGACCCAGACCTGCCCCACTTTTATCCTACATTAAGCCAACATTGTGACATAACTGAAATATTACTTTTTCACTTCAACTAAAAAAATTAAGAAATTATGATTGAACAGTTTTGTCCTCCAGTATAATGGTGGTATATATACCGATCAGTATGTCCGTCCGTCTGTTTCTGTTTCCAGAGCAGAGCTCCGAAACTGTAGTATAGTTTTTGTTGAAACTTGCTATACAGATCAGTCTAATGGTGAACTGGTGCCTTTTGATGATTTGTGATCAATATTTTTTTATGTTTTCATGACGACAGTTGGACTTCACTGGAAATGAGGGTGGTGCTTATTTCGGGAGCAGAACTAATAAAACATTGAATATTTCTTCATGAAACATGCTGTACAGATCAGTCTTGTGTTGAACTGGTGCCTTTTGATGATTTGGGATACTGAAATACAGTCAAGTCCCGTTAATCCGACATGGCTGGTTGCATATAATTATGTCATATTGACGAGTATGTCAGATAAATGAAATTAAGTAGTACCAACGTTCGTTGGTCACGGTTCACGAAAGGTTCTTCCGACGTGACCTGTAATGGGATGTCCTCGGCGATAGAGAACTTGTATCTGATTTTTATGAGTTTGAGGTAATCTAAGCATGTGATTAATCCTGTTTTCTTTATTTAAAGCATTAATTGTTCATTGTTAAGCAAAGTTTATCTCTGCATCTTTGTAATATGTAGCTACCAGCCGATTCTTCTCGCATCAAAACACTGGCTCTGTACTCGCAGGCAGATGACCACAGAGTACGCTGATCACTGTGTCAGATTAACGAGACTGATTAATGAGTGATTTCTGTAATTCGTTGCAAATTGGATGTGTCGGTGTCGGAGTGCAAGACTGTCAGATTAACGGGTCTAAATAGCACTGACTTAATCAGTTCCCATCATTAGTGTTGGATAAAGCCGATTGTCGGATTAACGAGACTTGTCTGTATACTGGACAGCATTATTTTTTCTTCACTGAACTGAGGGTATCAAAAGGCAAGGAACCAAAAGTGGGGAATACCAGAAGACAAGCTCCATTTCCGACTTGCACCAGACCAGGCTCATTTCCTTAGAAATATTAAGATTAGGATATTCATTTCATGAGACAAATATAACATTCATGTTCTTGTAGCCTGGGTGATATTCTGTATTATTTGGTTGCCAGGGGAACAGAGGCTGGCCGGTGTCTGTCATCACAGATGTCCCTGACATTGAAAGTGTCACCGAGGCCCTCAAGACAGGACCGTATGGCAGATGTGTATACGAGTGTGATAATGATGTTATGTCACACCAGGTGGGTCAAGGTCAACTTAAAATGAGGTCGAGGTAAAGGTCAACCTAAAATGAGGTCAAGGTCACTACAATAAAATCTGTGGAACTGTCATGCTAGTCCATATGTAACAATAAGTTCATTGTATCAATGTAAAAGAACATATTTTATGGCATTTGGGAACATGTGAAATGGTAAAGTTTCAGAAACATATGAAACATTTTTCCTAGACTGTTTTCACTGTACTTTCTTCATATTCACCATAGTTTGGACCTGCTTGTCTTGCATTTATGGCATGAAAAAATATATAAGTATAGCTAAAATGAGTGAACGAGCTGACCTTTTTTTGGAAATTCTAATGCTGACCAAGTCTGTGACCAAATATGCAAGTGTTGAAAAGAAAAATGTACATTTGTGTTTTAAAGGAACACATCTGATAGCTTTCATAATAATTTCGAGAAGATGCACAATCTGTTTTCATTTCTAAAGTCATACAGATCAAGCTGACCAGACATGATCCCTATCATACTTGGAAAGACTGTATCAGGGATTTGTTTGCAGGTTGTAAATTTCCAGTTTGAAGGAGGTGCAACAGCAAGCCTGACAATGATGGCCTTTACGAAAAAAGTGTGTCAGCGTGAGGTCAAGGTCTATGGAACAAAGGTGAGTACATTTCACATCACTACTGAGTGTAACGTCAAATCGGACAACTTTGAAATATTGGTACGATAATTAACAGACATGTTCAAATGGCTGACAACTATCTTTTTGTACACTTTCTAATTTCGGACTTCTGACAAGGTCAAATACGACAAATATTTGTTTGTTGTTTAACACCACACTCAGCAATATTCCAGGTATATGACGGCAGTCTATAAATAACTGAGTCTGGACCAGACAATCCAGTTACTGACATCATGAGCATCGACCCACGCAATTGGGATACAGTGACATGCATCAACCAAGTCAGCGAGCCTGACCACCCGATCTCAATAGTCTCAATAGTCCCCTCTCACCACAAGCATAGTACCCTCAATCACTGAGAAAATAAATATTGAATTATTCAATTATATTATTTAAGTTTAACAAAAATCCCAATTTTAGAAAAAATGATGTGTTTATCCCAGTTTGCCTGACGAAGGCACTTGGTTTAGAATCATCAATCACCCTCAAGTAGCACATCTCAAACAGGGATGTTATAATATCCCCAGGATTATATATATAATCCCCGGATTATATATATAATGCCCGGATTATATATATAATGCCCGGATTATATATATAATCCCCGGATTATATATATAATCCCTGGAATTATTATATGATAAGCCAGGGATCTTATTAATACAACTTCCGCTTACACCGTAAAATATGAATGTTTCTCGCCAGAAATTTATTTAGCATTTTAATGTGATGAAATGTAAAATCAATTGAGAAATGTTTTCGTTAAATTCCTGTGGATCGAACACACATCCTTTGTTTCTGTAGCCCAGTGAGTGTACCACTAGGCTACAGAGGCGCTGATAAATCACAATGCTTTTAAGAATGTAAGCCTACTTACTGAAAAGCTGAAAAGCAATGACCAATGTAAAATAAGAAAAAAAGCTTCTTAACTCCCAGTTCTATTGCAGACTGAAGTGTCAGATATGTTTGTCTTTGTTTGACAGGGAGAAATCTCCTGTGTTGATGATGGCATCAAAGTGTTTGACTTCATAACAGGACAAACAAGTGAGGCTTGTACATTTATTGTCAAATTGTTATGTTGAAGCGGCCTCATCCTACATGCTGTTCCCATATTGAAGCGGCCTCATCCTACATGCTGTTCCCATATTGAAGTGGTCTCATCCCAGATGTTATTCCCATATTAAAGTGGCCTCATCCAAGATGCTATTCCCAAATGCGCTTCCTTTGTCCTATGATATAATTGATTTAATTTTACAATATTAAAGTTCACCAGTCAATAATTGCAGAGAGCTCTAGCAAGGGGAGATTACTCTAAGGTTTAACTAATACTTTTGTTCAATTTTCCAGCCAGAGAGGATCTAGAGCAGGATGACTTTGCCCGGCAGTGGGGCCACGGGGGTGGTGACTATCACCTCATTCACGCCTTCATCACGGCCATCAAGGTAACTTCTCCATGAATTCTCATCATTCTCTTAGTGTCTCACCTGGGAGACGAGCAAGGTAAATTGGTCTAAAAGCTGCAATTTGAGGATAAGAGTTACTGCCCTTAGCTATCCAAGGATCTCTGGTCATTGGTTTGAGTGCAAGATTTACCCTGACTAAGATCTTTTATGTATAAGCACCCAAACCAGGGCTTACGAGTTTCAACAAATGGTAAACGTCTTTGACCTGGGTGGGTTTGGGCTTTTCTCCCACATCAAGCTGACACGCCCTGATTTAACTGCAATGCTGTTCAATAGGTGTTAAACCAAACCCACTCACTCTAATGTCAAAAGATCTTTATTAGGGCTGGGACAGGTATCTTGGGTACTCGGGTACTCGGGTACCGGGTAGGACACTGGTATCCCCAGGACACTGCTGACCACTGGTTAGTCACATGATTATATTGTTTAATGGCAAAAATTATTTAGAACTCTATGGTTACACTATAAGGTGAGGTGATAAAGAGTGAGTGAGTGAGTGAGCGAGCGAGCGAGTGAGAGACTCACCGACTTGGTTGATACATGTAATCGATCCCAACTGCGTGGTTCCCTAATCCTGTGTAATTTGTCAAGATTAATTTGTGTAAAATCAATGATGGTACGGTTTTGTCTGGTGCAACTAGGCTTTAATGTCAACATCAGGGTTGGAAATTGGCACTAGTCCTATAGTCCTTGCCAAACTGTCCAATGGTAAAGGTATCATAAGGGCTAGTAGAAAATTGTCATTTTTAAGGGTTTTGCTATATGTTATCATTGTAAGGACTAGTGGACGAAAACTGTTAGTTTCTAACGCTGCAACATGCACCTGGTGCATGTTAAAATCACGTTCCTTTAACCGAGCCCTGACTGTCAAAAACTAACATTGCCACTGGTCTGCCTGTATGTACACTAAACGCATCAGAATGTGAAGAGGAGTGCCATGATTATCCAGTTATCTCAATACAGATCCAGCTAGCAATATTACGTTCACAGTATGCAGAAGCCACATCAACAATCACTTGGAATTAATTAAGGAGTATGTCATTGAGTCAACTATCACTACGTTAAGGTCTCAACCTTCACAATCATTGGGGGGGCATGGGTGGCCCAGTCATCTAAGGCGCTGCGATTCGCTGTGCAGAGTTGCGTCCCTTGGGCACACAAGAAACCTATGATTGTCGGTTCGAATCCCGGTTCGCCCCGATTATGTTTCTAGGTTTGTCAACACCATACCTTTCGTGGGTTTCACCGAAGTGGTAAACGTCTGAGACCAGCATCACTTCGGGCTTTCCTCCCACATTAAGCTGACACGCCGTGATATAACTGGAATACTGTTAATAGCGGCGTTAAACCCAACTCACTCACTCACAATCATTGGATGAATGACATGGCACTATTCATGACTGCTCTCTGGGGAACAAAGTATTCCATTTTTACAGCAACTGAATTCCCTTCATTATCATGTTACTTCTCAATTGTTGTTACCAATGCAAATTTGCTGTCACCGTTGTCACTGTCATTGGGTACCTCACATCATCATGTACTATTATGTGCAATTGAAATCGCCACTCGAAATTGTTGTTAGTCTAGACAGGAAACACACATATCCATCATACCACTTGTAGCTGACCACCTGCTACTCTTCTCTTCACAATGGGACAAGAACCCTTCCTTCATTGCAGTGCTTGCTTGATCATTTCTTTGTTGTTTAACGCCGCACTCAGCAATATTCCAGCTTAATAACGGCGAACTGTAAATAATTGAGTCTGGACCAGACAATCCAGTGATTGATGTCATGAGCATCGATCCACGCAATTGGGATACGATGACATGCATCAACTAAGTCAACGAATCTGACCCATAAGTCACCTTTTACGCCAGTCGTAGTTGCCTTTCACCACGGCATGCATGGATTGTTGAAGACCTTCCAACTTGGATCTTTTCACCAGTATTTTCATTACAATGGTACATGCCAGTGGGCGGACCTCAAACATCATGACTTGGGGTTAATCGCCAGGCCACAACTCAACTTATCCTGGCTTACCAATAATAACCAAAATTCACATTTGAGAAAGGAAGAGAAAATCCAAACATTAGACTCTATTCAAAACTTCATATTAAAAACTGGCATATTTTCAATTAAGTAAATGAATTGTTTGATATGAACTGCAAATATATTTATTATATACACATCTAGCTTGGCATGTGCAATTCATTTGTTACATCTAATCTTCATTGATGTATCATGTTTTGTGTAATGGAGCGGTATTAACGTAAGCGCTTCACTTGTTTAACAATCCATTTTCACATTTTTGTTAAAATAAATATGTTTCAATCATAACCAAGATGAAGAAATTATTATCATGTTGAGGGTTGGTTGGTTGGTTTGGTAAAGCTGCACTCAGCAATATTCCAGCTAAATGACAGTGGTCTGTAAATAATAAAGTCTGGACCAGACAATCCAGTGATTGATATCATGAACATCCATCCATGCAAGTTTCGATCGATGACATGCATCAACCAAGTCAGCAAGCTTGACCACCCGATCCCGTTAGTGGCCTTTTACGGCAAGCATGGGTTACTGAAGACCTATTCTACCCCGGATCTTCACAGGGTCTCATGTTGAGGTACAAATGGGTGTGACATCCCAGGATGGGTAGTTTACCCACACCCCACTTTTACTTTTTTGCTTTGATTTTGGAGTAATTAATTGGAGTAATTTAAAAAAAAATATAAAAATTCGGGGGGGGAGGGGGGGGGGGGGGGGAGAGAGGGGGTCGCTCAGGTGTGTTTTTTTTACATATACCACTAATTATTAAAGGATATTAAATGAATATAGACTGCCCTTCTGTCTGTCAAGGACGGGTGGGACTAAGTGGACAGGATCTCACTAGGGTTTGTGAGTTTGACAGTTGCCTACTAACCATACTGAGTATTGGTGCTTGGGGATACCAAAGGTAACAGTTTTTTATCAGAGAAAATTGGCAGTAAATACTTGTGAACACCATTCAGGTAGGATGTCTGTAGGATTTTTTTCCTTTCTTTCTCTGTGGGAAGTCGCTTAACAAGTTCATGGCTTCTATGTCAAAGATGACCAGTTAGAATCCGTGTATATCTGTGACAAGTTCAAGCTGATGACATTTTTAAATGGCAGGTAAAATGTCAATGCAAGAGAATAACCAGTCCAGATTATCACCAAAACAAATTCCATTTGATGAATTTTGACATTCATAGTATTATGTTTATAGGGTTTGTCTGGGACATGGGTTCAAGTTCAAGCTAATGTTACCATCAATCATACATAAATGCGGGAAGGTGAGATATCATATTACAAAATGTACAGCTTTATGGATAACAACTTCTGGTTTACTTCCTATAGCGATGTTTTGATGTAGATTCTTACACCGTTATCAAGCTGGAGTGAGGGGGCAGTTTTAATGTTTTGAATAGGCCCGATATCAGTCCCACCATACATGATTTACAGTTGATTCAAGCCTTCATTTGGGATGATTCAAAGGACAACTATGACAACACTGAATCATTGATGATATACATGCATGAGAATAATTTTGTTTATTCTTGCAGTTATATTATTATTATTATTATTATTATCATCTATCCATCCTTCTGTCGTTCATCATCTCATTTGTCTGTCCATCGCTCATCCATACATCCATCTGTCATACTCTCTCAATGTCATCCGGCCATCATACACTCTCCATCTGTCATCCGTCTGTCATACTCTCTCCATCTGTCATCCGTCTGTCATACTCTCTCCATCTGTCATTCGTCCATCCATCTGTCATACTCTCTCCATCTGTCATCCGTGTGTCATACTCTCTCCATCTGTCTGTCATACTCTCTCCATCTGTCATACTCTCTCCATCTGTCATCCGTGTGTCATACTCTCTCCATCTGTCATCCGTCCATCCATCTGTCATACTCTCTCCATCTGTCATCCGTGTGTCATACTCTCTCCATCTGTCTGTCATACTCTCTCCATCTGTCATACTCTCTCCATCTGTCATCCGTGTGTCCTACTCTCTCCATCTGTCATCCGTCTGTCATACTCTCTCCATCTGTCATACTCTCTCCATCTGTCATCCGTCCATCATACTCTCTCCATCTGTCGTCCGTGTGTCATACTCTCTCCATCTGTCATCCGTCTGTCATACTCTCTCCATCTGTCATCCGTCAATCATACTCTCTCCATCTGTCATCCATCCATCCATCTGTCATACTCTCTCCATCTGTCATCTGTCTGTCATACTCTCCATCATCTGTCATCCATCCATCCATCTGTCATACTCTCTCCATCTGTCATCCGTCCATTCGTCTGTCATACTCTCCATCTGTCATCCGTCTGTCATACTCTCTCCATCATCTGTCATCCATCCATTTGTCTGTCATACTCTCTCCATCTATCATCCATCTGTCATACTCTCTCCATCTGTCATCCATCAGTCTGTCATACTCTCTCCATCATCTGTCATCCATCTGTCATACTCTCTCCATCATCTGTCATCCTCTCTCCATCTGTCATCCATCAGTCTGTCATACTCTCTCCATCATCTGTCATCCGTCTGTCATACTCTCTCCATCATCTGTCATCCGTCTGTCATACCCTCTCTATCATGTCATCCATCCATCTGTCATACTCTCTCCATCATGTCATCCGTCTGTCATACTCTCTCCATCTGTCATCCATCCATCTGTCATACTCTCTCCATCATCTGTCATCCATCTGTCATACTCTCTCCATCTCTCATCCGTCTGTCATACTCTCTCCATCATCTGTCATCCATCCATCTGTCATAATCTCTCCATCTGTCATCCGTCCGTCTGTCATACTCTCTCCATCTGTCATCCATCCATCCGTCTGTCATACTATCATCTGTCATCCATCCATCTGTCTGTCTGTCTTACTCTCTCAATCATCTGTCATTCATCCATCTGTCATACTCTCTCCATCTGTCATCCATCAGTCTGTCATACTCTCTCTATCATGTCATCCATCCATCTGTCCATCTTCCCGAGGCAAGTGAGTTAACTGACTATAAAAGAGCAGGTTCCACCCTTGCCGAACGAGGCTGGCATTATGGAGTTAGATTTTGGCTGGGCTAACGAGTCTATGCATAGTCCAATCAAAATCGTGCACCAAAATCGAAATCCGGTTCGTAGAGTGTCATGCAGATTTTGGTCGACTGCAGGATTTGTAAAGCATGTGCACCGCTAACTCGTTGTCAACATATATTTTCTAAATCTTTTCATGTTTTTAATCAAGGTGCTCACGTGATTTGATGCACTTCGCGATGTAAGACTCGTTTTATCACAATATAGATCTTGATTATCGATCAGATCGTCTTGACTGGGCGCCACCGTTTTGTTTGAAACAAATGCATGTGATACGAGAGGTTGAATCTGATTGGTCAATAGGAGAGGCATAGAAAGGACATAACTCGTAATAGCCACTGGTGGTGCTACGATCGAGCCCAGGAATTCCAGCCTAGTTCGGCAAGGGTGGAAACTGGACTTTTAAAGTCAGTTAACTCTCTTGCCTCGGGAAGATGCCATCTGTCATACTCTCTCCATCATCTGTCATCCGTCTGTCAAACTCTCTCCATCTGTCATCCATCCATCCATCTGTCTGTCTGTCATACCCTCTCTATCATCTATTATCCATCCATCCATCTGTCATACTCTCTCCATCAACTGTGCATCTGTCCATCCACTATCTCAATTCTTTTGTCCATCACGTCATGGTATGTAACTTTTTAATTGACCTTGACTTAAGACACTTAGGCAGCAGAATTCATTGTGGGCAAACATCTTACAACATGTTCTCGGTTACAGGAGAATCGCCTTGACTTGATAGAGACGGGAGCGGACGATACACTTAACAGTCATCTTCTTGTCTTCGCTGCAGAGAAAGCTCGTAAAGAAAACTGTATTGTGACCATAAATCCAGATGGAACATTTTAGGAATTGGGTAAAAATCAAACTGCTGTGAAGGATATGTTTTTATCCTCAGGCTGAAGGTCCTTTTCTATTGTTGTATTAATCAGGGACTATACACACAGATTCCTCTGAGTGTGTAAAAATCACTGAATCACAGCTTGTACAAGATTTGGTGTACCTGTTGTTCACCCAGCAGTGATTGGGCACTCAGGAACCATTGGGACAAACTAATTCATATCCTTTGGGGGAAGGTTGAGTGTTTTTATTTTCTTTTTTTAAAATCTTCCAAATAGAAAAGAATCTCATTAGAATCAGATATTAATTAGTGCTCACTACTGCAACCCAAAGATCTGAGTACATCCCATTACAGGTGATGACAGAGCAACCTTTCATCTGGCCAAGAGCGTCGCTTTTGAGATCAGGACAACGAAAGTCCTAATGTGTTTTCTAATCATGCAACCTCGAAAGGGTTTTGGTCATTCCGAACGACAGTAGGACAATCAAAGAGACTTTTCATTGCCCGTTGGAAGTAAAGTCATACCATCTAAACCATCTATTAGACATTTCAGAATTTTCTTAGATATTCAGTTTTCAAATATGGAATCTAGAACTCTATGAAAATATATTAGTATGGAATGGAAGTCGCCATTTTGAAACTAGTGCCTTAACGTTAAACAAGGTACTTTCTGATTTGGCTACTGTCGACTTCATCTTAGCATGTTTAGTCATTTCATTGGTCGTCAAAGCTCATGACAGGCTGTTCTGGCGAGACCTGTAATGGGATGTCCCCAGATCTTTGTGTGGGGTTAGCAAACTCTATGGCACACTGCATTAAGGGGATAAAACAAGGAGTTGGTATACTGTGTCTGAGTAGGGTATCCATGTTGAACTGCAGCATTGTATCTCAGTAGGGTAACACAATAAAACTGGCTTAAGTCTGGACTTGTACAAACATAGCTATGAATATAAAGCTGATATAAGCTACGATTTACACCTTCATAACATGCAACTAAAGTCTGCTGCTGATTTTGACCAGCCTTCACAAGCTCCCATCAGAGTGCAAAGTAATGGAATGTGGAAATTTGGATGTACCCCCTGGTACTGCATTTCATAAAGACAAAATATGATTTAGAAAAACTGTGGTTGCTTGGTCATTTGGACCTTTTGATCATCTTCGAATTTTTTCAATTAATCTAAATACATCTGTCCTCCAGTACTGAAATAATGTTCACATGTATCAAAATTATTCATTACTGGCAGGAGAATTAGCTTGTCTGATATCAAACAATATAGTTGAGGAGATATTAATTTGCAGATCACACATTGGTTGATTGACATAGGCGTAACACGTAAATGAACATAATTATGTAAAATATTTAGCTGGAGATTTCCCATTTTATGTCCTGCTGATCCATACAATAGAAAGGCTGCAAAATTTCGGTGAGTGAATTGGGTTTAGCGCCGTTTTGAACAGTAATCTCACAGCTTTATGTGAGAGGAAAACCCGAAGTGAGGCAGGTCTGAGAAACTTCGGTGAAACAACTAACTTCGGTAAAACCCCAGAGCATCATGGGTATGGTGTTTGTGAACCTAGAAATATAGTTTGGGCAAATGGGGAACCCACAATCATAGGTTTCTGGCGTGCCCAAGGGATGCAACTCCGAGTTGCATAATGAAGATGGATATTGCCAGATGATTTCAGTATCCACTTGTGTTGATAGATATTAAAAAAACAACACTAAACACAACAACTGTTGGCTAAAATCTGTATGCATTTAGTTTTGGTCACATTTGGGTATGGTGTGTGTTCTGTAATAACATGTGTATTAGGGCAGGGACGGGTGACTCAGGTACTCGGGTCGGGTGGGTACTGAGTAGGACCCGGGTATTTCTTTCTGACGATGCACACATTCTATTTTACTTGTATATGTTAAAGTAAAGATAAAGCTTCAGACAACTTCAGTGAACACATGATCTGATTGTTTGATACATGTACAATGTATCTAAATAGTTTCAGCCCAAGCTTCAGTCAACTTCAGTGAACACATGATCTGATTGTTTGATACATGTACAATGTATCTAAATAGTTTTAGCCCAGGCTGCGATAAAACAATTACCAATCAGACATTTTGTTCCCAACTCTTGAGACTTGCAGTGGGTACCTGGGTTGGGTCAGGTAATAGGGGGTTGGGTACCGGTTAATATATTTGGACTCGTTCCAGCCCTTATGTGTATTACAACAAATGGATTTACATGTTTTAACAGAAGGGCTGGTGATGATACCTTGATCATAAACACTGTTTATATACTTAAAAAACCTACTTGACTTTATATAGGAATCAGTATTGAATGTTTAAAGAGTATCACAATATTTTACAATGCACAAGGCTGTATTGCTATACGTATAACCATATAATGCATAATTCAAAGTTTTGAATTCCGAAACAATTTGTAACATCAATGTAGGAATTGAAGTTCATAAATGGAACAAAACAAAATGCTGGAACAACCTAATGTTTACTCATTCAATAAATAATCAAGGATGGATGCTCCGGGACAGTGATGACTTTGTGTACACCACTGCCACAGAAGAACTCCAGAATCCGAACTTGCATTTTGGAATTATGTAAACATTTCAAAGGTACATGTATTTGGCAACTGTTTAACATGAAACACATTATAAAAATCGCTATTTGGAATCACCCAATATACCAAACATTAAAATTTGATATTGTGATACGTATCATGGAGAAAAAAACCTCATTTTACCGATATACCGGTAATACTGCACACCTTTAGTTGTATATGATATATTCTCATTGTGGTAATAAATATATTACATGTATCTTGGTATGTTGATATATTGTAGTTACATTTTTGAGTGAGTTGGTTCAAGGCTGTCTCATGTCAGCTGAATATAGCAGGAAACCCGAAGTGATGCATGTATCAGACGTTTACCACTTCGGTGAAACCCACGAGCACGGGTATGGTGCTGACAAACCTAGAAACATAATCGGGGCGAACCGGGATTCGAACCGGCAATCATAGGTTTCTGGCATGCCCAAGGGCAGCAACTCTGCACAGTGACCAAGGTTTTGAATAAGTGTACCAGAAACCTATGATTGCGTGTTCGAATCCCGGTGCCAACATGACTGGGTAACCAACAAAATCTTTTTCAGCTAAAGACAAATTGAGACAACACCATAAAATTTCTTTTAAAAATGGATGATCCGATTTTCGCTTTTTGATTGCCTGTAAACAGGACAAACTATGATTGGTTGGTTGGTTGGTTGTTTAACGCCGCACTCAGCAATATTCCAGCAAAAATGACGGCGGTCTGTAAATAATCAAGTCTGGAACCATGAAGTTCAATCCGCCAAGTAGATCACAATGTTCTTGTATTTGAACCACGCACCAGACAATCCTTGAACAGTTTTTCAGTCCAAAATAAGAGTGAAGAAAATGTTTTTATACGGACATGAAATATTACAAAACTGGTATTTCTAGTTAGGTCAATGATTATTATTATAATAACCACCTTTCGTCGATTGAGTTTGTGTTTAATGTAAAATAGTTGTGAACAACCGCCTGCAAAATGATGGTTGACGGACTATAACATATGGCAGCTAAAAACCGAAAGATTCTAAAAGTCAATTACACAGACGTAATTAAGATATGAGATTCATATTTTGTTTTCTTTTTATACATTATGATAATAGATCAGCTAGGTGTTTTTAATACAGCTGGTTCTCCTGGTTTCATAAAGTGTTAATTGTAAATAATCATTCCTAACATCTGAGTGAGTGAGTGAGTTGGGTTTAACGCCGCTTTTAACATTATTCCAGTTATATCACGGCGTGTCAGCTTAATGTGGGAGGAAAGTGATGCAGGTCTCACACGTTTTCACTTCGGTGAAACCCACGAACACGGGTATGGTGCTGACAAACCTAGAAACAATCGGGGCGAACCTGGATTCGAACCGGCAATCATAGGTTTCTGGCATGCCCAAGGGACGCAACTCTGCACAGCGAATCGCCCCGCTTAGAGGACTGGGCCACCCGTCCCACAAATATCTTTCTTTAGCCATTTCACATGATCATGGTAATAATTTGAATATTTATCCAAATTATGAAGTTTTGTACACATATCGCAAAATGAAGAGTGAACATTTTCTCCGTTCGGTGAATATCTGGCCTTTTCCCTCAATATCTCGGTATAAGCCGTGATATTCTGTTCCAGATATTTCAGATAGTTTGCAAGTTTTCCTGGACTTGAAAAGTCTGCAGCATTGATGTATGTTCCGTTCGGTACAAGAGAACCATAGTCAGCCCCCCCTCGAACAACAGGAACGATATTGTAGTTATATGTTTTGAAAAGTTTTTCTGTAATATAGTCGATACAAAGAGAATTTTCAAAAGACAAATAAAACTTATATTGATTGTCATATAAATCGCCACAATTTCTAGAACAGTTGAAGGGCCCACATTGTCCATAAATGTCAACCGTGATGTACTTGGCAAGTTCCCGTACGTAAGATTCACGTTTTGAAGGGGTTTTACAGTTGCTCACAAACCAAAGAACCGATTTAGTTTTATTCAACGCAACCTTTGTGAAATTAGTTTGTGATGCCTTCTTCCTCCGCTGTAGTATGTTACACGGCAGCACGATGTCAGAGTCCAGACGGTACGTCATGGTCCAGTTAAATGCCTGACGCCATTGGGGTCGTAGGTAGTTCTCATTGTGATAGTGAACAGGAGACTCTAGGCCAAACATAATCCACATTTGATCAGCTCGCCGTATACTTGTTGGTGGTGTAGCATCCTTGAGGTCAACAGCGTCGATGATGACAGCATCTGCTTTAGCAATGTCTTCAGGATCATTCGAACATGTGCAGGCTTTCTGTGGACAGTCTTGGATACCCTGTATACACTGATTCACACCGAACCAAAATGGACGATTGTAAAACAAAATTAGTTTTGATTCGTTACCGCTCGTGTCGATATCATCGAGGGAATAATTGTCATACGTGAAGCGTTTTCTGAATCTACCGTTCGGTGTGGACGAAACTGGTCTATGGAAGTATGGAATGGTCTTTGAGGCGGGAAAAACAAGTTTGAAAGTCGTTTGCACATCTGCTTCAGGATTTCGTGTTGATACATTACGAGGGTAAAACATTTGTGGATGCTTAGGATTAATTCCTGTGAAGTTGAAGACATCCGCCCTTGGCAGGGCAGACCACAAAGACGTTTGTTGATCCTCATAGATGTAGAACACACCAATACCAAAGATCACTGCGAAGATGAGAACGGCCATGCAATACATCAAGTATCGCGGCTGTGCATGAAGCTGTAACATGAAAGGTTATGGAAAAGTAAGATGAGTTCAATGCTTTGAAAAAGTGTATGTGGGTGTGTGTATGTTTGAGTGCATGTTTGAATGTGTGTGTGTATGTATGTGAGTGTCAGTGTATGTTTGAGTGTGTATGTGAGTGTGGGAATGTGTGTGTAAGTGTGAGTGTATGTTTGAGTGATTGTGTATGTGTCTGAGTGTGAGAATGTGTATGTATGTGTGAGTCAGTGTATATTTGAGTGCGTGAGTGTGAGAATGTGTGTATGTGTGTGAGTGTATATTTGCGTGTGTGAGTGTATGTGAGTGTGAGAATGTGTGTGTGTGTGAGTGTGTGTGTGTGTAAATGAGTATGAATGAATAAATGAATGATCTTTATTTCCTCCATTAATTTCGGAGAGTGATATACATTTGGAATCATGTTAACACAGCATATTTACACGAACAGTATGCAGAGAAATTGGCAATATGAGTGTATGTGTGTATGTTTGAGTGTATGTGTATGAGAATGTGTATGTATATGTGTGTCAGTGTATATTTGAGTATGTGAGTGAGAATGTGTTTGTGTGTGTGTGTGTGTGTGTGTGTGTGTGTGTGCGTGTATGTGTGTGTGTGTGTGTGTGTGTGTGTGTAAGTGAGTGTATGTTTGAGTGTTTGTGTATGTATATGTGAGTGTGAGAATGTGTGAGTGTGTGTGATGTTTAACTCTACACTCAGCAGTATTGAAGCTGCATGAAGGTGGCCAGTGAGGTCCCTACCTCAATTGTTATTGTAAACTTAAAAAAAACGTCCTAAATTTCCTGAAGCCCCTAAACACATCTCTTTCGGTGCCCACACTAAACTAGAAGTTAAACCATACATCAAACAGGTCAAACAATGTTCTAACTGCCTTAGATATAACCACACGGTTAAAAAAAACTAAATGTAAAAAATGCGCCCAAACCGATTGCCCAGGCACATACTCTCCCTGGTGCACCCATTGCAAATGCATAAAACATACATCACTCTCAAACCAGTGCCCGCACAGACATGCCCTAACACAACAGGCCAACAAACACATAAACATAGATTCGGCCAAAATCCAAACAAGAAAATATGCACCACCTACATCCAAACCTCTCCTCCCACACCACACTCAAACACCACACACAAACTCCCGGATTCTGTCTGGGGCAACCACATAGAAACCGCACCCACCACATCCACACATCACCTCACACAGCTACCTACTAACTCCCCCATACCACACACTTCTACAACATCAACACCCGCATGCAAAGCAAACAGCAAAACCACAGAACTTGTCTTACTTCATCACACCAACTTCTAAATGCCACTAAACGAAGTTACAATCAACGTAGTCGCCACTTACGATTAGGATAGGTATGCTGGGTCCAATTCTAACCCCAAAGGGAGTTCCGGACTAAGAGGTCCAAAACTGAGGGGGTTTCAGGACTAACAGGCCCAGACTAATGGGTTTCGGACCAACAGGCCCACTGAGGGTTTTTCAGGACTAGCAGGTCCAAGCTAGAGGGATTTCCAGTTTAACAGGTATAGACTAAGAGTTTTTCAGGAAACAACAGTTCCGAACTAAAGGGGGTACCGGACAAACAGGTCCAGAGAAAGGGGGATGTCGGAATAACACGTCCAGGCAAAGTGGGTTCCGGACAAACACGTCCAGACTAAGGGGTTTCCCGGGCTGGCGGGTCCAGACTAAAAGCGTTTTCTGACTAACGGGGGCGGCGGGGTAGCATGGTGGTTAAGGCGTTCGCTCGTCACGCCGAAGACACGGGTTCGATTCCCCACGTGGGTACAATGTGTGAAGCCCATTTCTTGTGTCCCCCCCCCCCCCCCCCCCCCTCCACCCCCGCCGTGTGATATTGCCCGAATAATGCTAAAAGCGGTGTAAAACCATACTCACTAACTACTGTCAGTACATTTGAAATAACGCGCATGCAAATTCAACATGTCAGAACTAAATGTTGAGAAGTGTTTGTGTGCATTGTTTCCATTTGGATGGGAAGCCATGATCGCATCTCATTTAACTGTGTCTGAAACTGAGTATTCCCCTTTTTCATTACCATCAGTATAAATAGAGGGGTTGACATGTACACGCACTTGCATCTACGTCCACACCAACACTCACCTTGTAATGTTGAAATGCCATTTTGTAGATCCTTTAACAAAGTTAAATACACGACTATATATACCTCCCTATATACTGACGACAGGCGAGTTGTCCTGTACGATCCCGTGCAAAGCTGATGTGATCGACATATTTTTTGACACATCTATATCCAGCTAAACCAACACATCTGCGTCTGCTTCGCCCCACATGGTTTATTCTTCCTGCTGTGTTTGATTGAACGATGAACAATTCCCACTCGTCGTTTATTTCTTATATAAAATATCAAAATTTTGTGCAGCCTTTTTAAGGATGTCAATAACATGTTGAGGCTTTAAAATCATTTACCCGTATTTAATTAAGGATTGAAGTTGTATTTGTTGACGTTCATCAGCTGATGAAGACAGTGCCTCACGCATCATGGAATTTGCTTAAGTGAGGCACTGTCTTCATCAGCTGATGAACGTCACCAAATACAGCTTCAGTCATGGTATTGACAGATACATAAATCACAACAAAGCAATCCATTAAACATCAAACTTTAATTATTTAAAGCGAACTATATCAACGCAGAGAGTCGTGACGTCACCCGTTCCTGTGTCAGGATCCAGCTGAGTCCTCACTTTCTCTAGAATTGGTTTGAAGAGGGGTCCATTTCCAAAGTAGCTAATATATCTCATAACTTTCACAAGCCTTTTAAGGAAAGTAGCACTGGAAACACGAAAACGTCGTTTTTTTCCGTATATGGTCATTGGACGGAAAAACGACTAAAAATTCATTAAAATTGATTAATTTGTGAGGGTCTAGAAAGTGTCCGGAAAAGGGTCGAGTTTTTCAAGCGTAAAATGGACGGAAAAACGATGCTTTTTGCTCCGCCTTGTACAACTGTTAACGGCCAATGAGATGGCGCTGGTCCCCCGACGCACGTGATGCCTAAGGCTTCCTTTCGGAAGCATTAGGTTTCATATTTCTGGCATGCCTTGCTCTAGTATCTGTTGCGCGCAGTGCAGCGATATTTGCTGATTAGTCAGTTTTAGGATATTTAGCATGTTAATGGAATTTCAGACACGTGCCAAGAAGTCAAACCAAACCATGTTACCAAGTTTATTGGGATAACATAGCCCTCCGCTGTGCAAAGTTACCTCTATGGGTTGTGTTTCACAACAGTAACTAATTTTTTAATGTGAAGTTTACAAGATATACGGCTTTTCCATTGGACGAGAGGTCGGTCACATGACGTTTTTCACGTGACTGTATTCTTGAAATGACGTAAACACTCAGTCTGACTACTCCCACATTCCTGGGGAAAACCCTGGGAATTCCCTGGTACGAATTCATACAGAAGCGTTGTTACTCATCAATAAGACCCTTTAATTTTGAACTTAGCGTCTTAGCTTACTCTGGGATAAGTCAGAGAGTTCGGTTGCATGCCCGTTCAAGGATACCCTCGCTGCAACCCATCTTAGATGAAAATAACACGAAAAAAAACGGAAAAAAATCCAAACTATCGTAGTGACAATCTACAGCAATCTATTAATTTACCTTAGAATCTATTTGACACATTTTTACAATCACCTTTCAATGGTCGGCCAATTGATCAGTGATGACAAAGGCTTGAAACAGCCACAGGTTAATTAACAACTTCGGAACCATCTCCCGTCACGTTTATCGTGTCGGCCATTTTGACGTTTTGTACTTGATGTAAATGTATTACGACGCTCTGTCATTGAAATTGACTAACTGAGGTAATTCTTTAACAGATCTTCTCATCTAATGAGGATATTGTTTGGAATACATTTGTTCAGATGATACATTTGATACAGATGTTCCTCGCTTTTGGGGGAACTATTTTATCCGGGATGACCTATTAAAGCTGGTAGTAAGTCAAGGCACCATGCATGTATATGATCTGTTGTTATATGTGTTTAAATTACGGTTTGGGGCGTTAATAAAATACACTGACGCAAGTATATTCTAATCAAATCAATTGGTTTATTGAATATGCTTTCTTTTACATATTACATAACATCACTACACAAAGGTGCAGTAACACACTAAGGTGATCGCATTAAACACCACTTTGAACAGTATTTCAGTTATATCACGGTGTATCAAACTGATGTGGGATAAAAATCCGAAGTCGTTCAGGCCATCCAATGGGTGTTCGGTAAAAGGTGAGCGTATCCTGCCACGTAAGTGGCACCCGTCACAAACACATGCAAGCACAAGTCGATTGTTCACCTGAACAAAGCACGGAAACACGTAAATGATGCCCGTCCTCACTTTTACCGACCATGTAAATTATATTGTCCGTCAAAAACATGGACGAGGTAATACATGTCATACATTTGACAAAATGTATTAACTCAGAGCATAATTGTTAATCACAGCGTATAGACTCGGCATGCAGTTGAACTCATCACCCATCCCATTATTGATAATCCTTCTTGAAGATCTATGAAATCAGAAGCTGCAATAGCGCGTTTTTACACTTTATCTTTTAATTGGCATGTTAGACTTCAGACTTAGACTCAGTTTTATTTATTTCAGTTGTCGTATTGTCGCATTGACGCCCTTACAAAAACAAGCAAAACGTGTCAAAATTAACAAAAGCGCGACAATTCGACAACGCGACATTTTGGCCATTTGTCGCATTGTCACGTGGTCGCAATGTCGCTCTTTGAATAATCGTTTTCTTTATTTTACAAAAGGGCGACGATGCCGTAACGCGACATTTTCAAGGTCAAAATATGTCTCGTCGTATTGTCGCCCCATCACAAATGCGTATAAAAGGCGAAAAGTTCAGTTAATGTTACAGTTAGGAAGCGGTAACCAAGTTATATCTGTCGTAGAAGTTCAACCTGATACATGTAAGTCTTGAAATGAAAACACAAGTCCGTCCGCGAGTCAATAACGTTTTATTGTGAGCTCTTCTCTACAAGTGCTTAGTGTTCAACTCCCAGTTCCAAACACGTAGTGCCTCATCAACAATCCACGTACCTCTAGTGCAGTGATCGTCCGGAAGATCTTACTCTTGACCGTATCAGACAACTGACGGGTGCACGCCTGACCTGTGACCTCGTTACAACCCCCATGAGGTGTTTGCCGAAGGGAGAGGGGTAGGAAATGTGTGCTCAAGCCTAGGGCAGAGCTCGCGACACACTGTATACTGCATGTTGTATACAGTATATTGCAATTGATATACTGCATACTGCATGTGATACTTATTTGCGGAAAAGTTACAACTTTCAAGATTCAAGATTCAATTTGCATTTATTTCTTATACAACAGACCGCCGTCATATATCACTGGAATACTGCTGAGAGCGGCGTTAAAACAATTTGTTTTCATAATGGAACGCTGCAGTCATTTAAAATAGAACCGTATACATATGTAGTACCAACTCACTCACTCTGTTTCGAATATTCAGCAGGAAATATATTATTAACCAGGTCCATGGGAGAGATAGCAGATCAGACCCCTCACTGATTAGGTTCTTTTTTACTTAAGAGCAGAGTTGGCCATGTTAGATGATATAACCAAAATCCAGGAGCTCCGGTGGGGGGCAAACTGGTCATGTTATTGTGTGGCATGAGCTGTGACGTAGACCCAAGAGAATAATGCAAAAACTCAACTCAGCTCAAGTCTATAATGATTGGGAAAGTCTAGATTTCCACAGCTCTTGCTTGAAATTAAGAATTGTTCTGTGCTCGTTCTTAATTGTATTATTTTCATTTTGTAGACATGGATAGACCAATCAGGAAAGAAGTTGATGGAATAATAATTTTTTAATTTGACGTTTACACGATATACGGCTTTTCCATTGGACGAGAGGTCGGTCACACGACCGCGAAGTTGACGTTCATAAGTGTATGAACGACATAATTTGACGTTCATACGTTTTTCACGAGACCGTGTTCTTGAAATGACGTAAACACTGACGGACTACTTCCACATTCCTGGGGAAACCCTGGGAATTCCCTACCACGAAAACATACATTTTATTTCTGATCATTTAGAACCTTTTACCTTGGTCTCAGCATTTCAGTGTACATTGAGAAACGTTAGAGAGCTTGACTGCATGATTGTTCACGAATTTCCTCGCTACGGCCCATCCTAATGAACAAACGAAAAAATGCACATCCAAACTATCGTCAGTATCGACTCGATCTGTGTCTAGGCTGACAGTGACCGTCTCCAGCAATCTACGAATTTACGTTGGTGTCTGTTTGACGCATCTTTAATCACCAAGCTCTGACGTTCATACAGTTTGGCCCTCACTCTATGCAGGTTCATACTCCAATGAACTCACACAAAGTGAAGGTCAATTCTTAATTAATATCACATGTTACCACTGATCCAGTTAAATTCATCACACAATAATATATTAGTATTTGATATTACGGTATTTGATTATGAGGGCATGATCTGAAGCAGCCAAGAACAATACTTTTTATTAATGCTTACTTCCATGAATTTATTAATAGGCAATCTAGGCTTGACAAATCGTTCTAGACTTGAGCGGGATTCCTTTTAAATTTATTCTCTATGGTCCGGGGGGCGTACAAGGGCGTCATTATCGCATGGAGAACTGGGTCAGTGTAATCGGATATGTTGTTGAGTTTCGGGTTTGGGCTGTTTGCTGAATAGAACAAGGGCTAACGAATAAGGGCACAATGTAGAGATTAAATCATTACCGCCTCTGTTTATATCAGATATGTTATTGTGATTTGAAATCTCTTGCGAGTTATTGTATACTCTGTATTCTTTCGTCGTGGTAGAATATGTATTTTCTATGTTGCCTTTTTTAATTATCCACAAATAATGAGAACTACAATGTAAACCTCTCTCTGGAGATATTCAATAATACTACTGAAGGGCATATCTGAAAAATGGGACTAATCGACTAAATACTGTCCGTTACAGGCATTCTAATCATTATATTATACTTTGTATAGTTTAAAAGTTAAATATGGCAAATTGTGTATCTTACTTTATTTTGAATTCATTATAATTTCTGCAATAAAACCTTTACATCAGGAAGTGATATAAACGAATATGATCTATACTGTGATAAATGAATGATTATTTTCGTATTATGAATATAAAACTAAAATATGATAGTAAGAACAAATTATTTTAATCTGTTCGTGTGAGTCTGAACAGCGAATCGCTGCATGACAGACAAA